CTCCCCCCTCGGGTCTGGAAAGCTCCGCGCGGCTGGGGGGGGTCACTTGAACGAGATAATCCAGGGAATGCAGAAAGGGGGCTGATGTAATCTCCCTGAAAGGGACACTGTGCAGGGAAATCACACTTCCACATGGAGACTCGACTGTCCTTAGTCTGGGTGATGCCTCAGAGGAACATTTTATAAAACTTCTTCAGACACAGTTTGGTTCAAAGGAATAATCAAAATAATCACCTACAGGGTTTGTTTTGCGAGATAATCCAGGGAATGCAGAAAGGGGGCTGATGTAATCTCCCTGAAAGGGACACTGTGCAGGGAAATCACACTTCCACATGGAGACTCGACTGTCCTTAGTCTGGGTGATGCCTCAGAGGAACATTTTATAAAACTTCTTCAGACACAGTTTGGTTCAAAGGAATAATCAAAATAATCACCTACAGGGTTTGTTTTGGGGTTTTTTTGAACTTGCACTGTAGTTAGAAGTAATACATCTATTTATATTAGAGACACATGTCCAACAAGTAGAGAGCCTTGAGTAGGCCATGTAATACAACCCTGGCTAATTTTAACACTATAGTTTCATTGTAGCCCATTATATTGAGTCTTTTGTTAAATCATATTAGGACATTAAGTATTAGGGATATAAGAGGTTAACTGGTTAACTTATAATCATGCTTACTGGTTTCTGTTTAATGATTAAATTCTGACTGTGGTCCTGCCTACCAATTCTACAGCTGGGGTCCCTTAGGGTTGTCATGTAGCTGCCAGCTAGGGTCCATTGCAGTTGCTGGCCCTGTGGCTAGGGCCCCAGGTGCGCAGCCGGCAGCCAGGACCCCACCTGCAGTGGGATCCCTGCTGGCCACAGAGCCCCAGGTATGGGGCTGGCAGCCGGGACCCCACATGGACATAGATCCTGGTAGTGGCAAAGCCTGAGGCATGGGATTAGCAGCTGGGATCTCGCATGTGCCGAGATGCTGGTGGTGGCAGAGCCTCAGTTGCATGGCCAGCAGCGGGACCCCAGGCATGGGGGCACCCATCCCGCACCTTTCCCTTCATATCTCTAGGTCCCAGGTAACTGTGTAACTGATAGAATTTTGATCAGTTACACGGTTACTGTTTTTACATTTTTTTACATCCTTATTAAGGTTAGAACACCTGAGCTAATTGATAGAGTGGTGTTACACTTTGAATTGAGGTAGCAGATGATGTGGGATTCAGTATCATTGAGGAACAAGGGGAAAATTTTCTCAGAGAGTTATCGATTTATCATAAATTAATAGTAAAAAGATCCAGTTGAAATATGTCCTTTTTGTTGTTTTGTGTAATTATAGCAGTGTGGGTGGTCTGTTTATGAACTGAGTTTCCTTTGTGTTCAAAGAAAGATCGCTGTAGGTGTATGTTTTCAAAGATGAGTAATACATGATTTATAACTGCTGGCGCGTACATAATGCTCGAGTACTCAGCTCCTGCTGTACTGCACAGTAAGAGCTGTGAAACACAGAGGTGACCTCTTGTCTTGTTTTTCAGAGCTACTAATAGAACAAAATTATAACATGTTTACATATTCATAGTAAGTTACTGTGCTGCTTCTGAACCAAAAACAAAAGCTGCTGACTTGAATTATATCTTTTCTTTTAGATTGGTGTACAGTCCCAAGTGACTAAGTATGGACTGTTCTTTGCCCTTCATAACCTTATCCAGGGCATCCTGTTGGGACCAACATCTTTTCAGTCAGGATTACTGCAAACCCCTACTCCTGAAAGGAGTCCCTTTGATTAAGTGTATGAATAGTGGAGGAACAGTTCTTAAAGAATAGTAATAGAAATGTAGCCGTGTTAGTCTAGTGTAGCTGAAGCAAAATGCAGGACAATGTAGCACTTTAAAGACTAACAAGATGGTTTATTAGATGATGAGCTTTCGTGGGCCAGACCCACTTCCTCAGATCAAATAGTGGAAGAAAATAGTCACAACCATATATACCAAAGGATACAATTTAAAAAAAATGAACACATATGAAAAGGACAAATCATATTTCAGAACAGGAGGGGGATGCGGGGGGGGGGGGGAAGGAAGGTAAGTGTCTGTGAATTAATTATATTAGGGGTGGGGAGTTCTTAAAGAGACACTATAAAGTTGAATTCTAGTAATTCCTAACATATAAAATGTGGTTTTGGCCTGAGGCATGCAAGCTTTTGTTTTTACAATCTCATTTTCCTATTTTTAAATGCCGTCTTGTTTTTTAAATGCTAACTCATGTAGAAAGAAAGTGTGTAAGTTTCTATACATGAAGTACTGCCAATTCAAAAAACAAATAAACTGAAAACAGTATGTTTCTCTAATCTTTTTTTTTATAATAACTTAAAGTGTTACTTGTAAATAAGGTAGGTATAAAAAAGAAAAAAGACACTGGGAAGACTATCGTGTCCCTTTAAACAGGCTGCTGTTTTGAGACTGAAAACTTAGAATTTGGGTTCCAAATATGGGAGGAAGGTTAGGAGTGCACAAATGATGTTTACAGGACTTCATTGTGAATATAAATATTGCTTTAATTTACAAAAAATCATCAAAACACTTCTGTTTCAAGGTTCTCCTGAAATGTAAAACAAAAGTCTCAGTACTATGTAAGTGCTTGAGAATCAGAAAGTGAATGTAGTTATAAACAAAAACGAAATTGACCAGTTTGTTTGCTTTATCTTTGTTCACTCAAAGTAAACAGTATCTTTCGCACATAAAAGTAAATGGATTTTAAAAAATTCTTTTTAAAAATAATGTACTTAAATTTTGAATGCATCTCTTTAAATACATTTGAAATAGAATCTCAAGGGAGAGGTTTACAGAGAAGAATCTCAAAGAGCGACGTCAGAAATGGTTTAGAAAAGTACAGGAATAAGAAAAAGACGGGGGGAGAAGATAGACAAAAGTGAGAGAGAAGTAGAAGATAAGTAGGGCTTGATGGGGTGAGGAGGAATTGAAGAACAGTATCTGGGAGGTTGGAGAATATTAGTGATCATTTAAATCGTTTTTTAAAATGTTGTTTTGTATGTGAGGTGCAAGGGTGTGGTCCAAAAGGAGTACTTATGCCGTGTGCAAAACCAAAATTCCTGGCTTACATCTTACCTTACTAGTGAGGATACACATTCTACTGTGAATATTCTACTTTGATCCTTGAAACAATGTTTTCCTCCCCTTCCTTTTCTCTTTTTTTAAAAATCAGATTCTCAATATTAAAACCCAACAGTTAAATAAAAGTTGAACTTCAGATAAATTAAAAATAATTCATTTGCCTGTTTATTAGCATTTTTATTGCTTCTAGTTTGGAAACGTAAAAGTCTTAGTGGAAAAATATCCTCATAAAGTCAATTGCTTTGACAAAAAAAGCTCTTTCCAGTGTAAGATTTCATCCTTTTCATAAACATAATATTACAGTACTGCTTCTTTGTGAGAAGCAAAGGGCTTGGCCATAGGTTTGTTTCCAGTGAGGGTGGAGTGAAATTATTTTTACTAATTGATGTCAGAATGCAAAAAAATACCCCAAACTTGTGAAAAGGAAAAATGGACCATTTTTGTACAGCTCAAGATACTTTTAATGAAGAATGTTTAGTCCCATGGATGATGCTTTGTTTCAGTCCTGTGTCACTTACAAGGCTGTCTTTGTTTTCAGAGCATGTTATGGAGGTATTACATAGTTAAGGTTGGAACTGTCCTGGTTTATAATTCTGAATCCACAAAAACAAAACAGATAACCTGAATGTTTTCTCCTGTGGCAGACAATCGTTTTGTAATGTGTAGAAAGGTTATTGGACAGGATGTTGATCAGATTTGACAGTTTGAAAAATTAGGAGATTTCTACTTTCAAAAAAGATTTTCTACCATTTTTAACATGTTGTAATTCAAGCAGCTTGCTTCAGGAACTCCAAATCTGGGGCTTTTTTAATTGCCTTCCCTCAGGAGTATTCCCTTTCACTAATTTCAGTTTTCAGTGGTTTTTTCCCCCCTCGAAACTAAGAAAAAATTGAAAATTGTATTTGTTGGAATTTAGGGAGCTTGCAGCCGAGTTGGAAGCATACATTGTTTAAAGGGACATAATCAGTTTCAAACACTACCATTTCTGTGTGGAAACATTTGTACTATATTGTTCTGAATAGCACTTTAAAATATAGAGGTATATATTTAATTTGTCTTTGGTTTTCAGTTTGTTTATTTTGTACATTTGGTTGCTCTTTGTATATACAGGCAGTCCCCGACTTACGCGGATCCGACTTATGTCGGATCCGCACTTACGAACGGGGCTTTCTCGCCCCGGAGCTCACAGGCAGCGGTCAGCCACCTCGAGCTCCGGGGCGAGAAAAGCTGCTCGCGGTGCCCCTGGTCTGCTGGGGACCGTCTCCAGCAAACCAGGGGCACCGGGAGCAAAGCGGTCCGGCCAGAGCAAAGCCTCAGAGGCGAGGCCCCCCCCGCTGCCGCTTTGCTCCCTGTGTCCCTGGTCTGTTGGGCGGGGGCGCAGCTAGTGTGCCCCCCCCCCAGCAGACCAGGCTTTTGTTGTGGACCCTGGGGCAGAGCAGCTGGGGTGCTACCGGTTGGTCCCGCAGCGCCGCTCTGGGCACTACTGGACCAACCCGGCAGCACCCCAACTGCTCTGCCCCAGGCATCCTGATTCAGCCGCTGCTGGGCAGGT